CTACCCTCATACAAGTCTTCTATTGTAATTGCACTCAGATTAAGAGGACACTACATTGTACATCTGAAGTCTAATCAGTTTAAAAAATAAAAGTTAAAAGTAGTTTCATGTATTAAACCTTCTTAGTCTTCCAAATAAGAATAATTCATCTTTCCTATAATGTTTTACACTATCCATTTACTGTGGGAAGTCCCATACAAAGATGAAAGGAAACTGACTGAGGCTGCAATCTTCTATTCAGCTCCACATGGTACCTGTGTGAGGGCTAACTATAATAAAGGGAAAACAGTGAAGCTAACTTTACCCAAAGTAAACAAAGTAGAAGACCAGAGGAAAGTAATTTTTTATTTTTAATCTTTTATGGTTCTCGTTGGAACTTAAGTATTGTAACTATAGCAGATAAAATATTTTCAGATTTGGGGTGCAGGTACCACCAGCTACTGTATTTACTTAATGTCACCTTGTGAATTTTACATGGCCATTTTCCCAGTTGCAGAGAGACACTAACCATATGTAGCACTCAGATCTAGATAGTCGTCCTCTCTACATACAGCTGGTACACTGAAACAAATAGTTTAGAGAAAAAAATATGAACTGGGAACATTCTACCATATTCTAAAAAGTTCTCATTATAACCAAACCTTCTAAAAAGCTTTGCAACCAAATTGATAAAAGGAAATCTGCTGAATTCACAGTGAGGTAATTATTTTATTAAGATGGCTTTAGTATTTTCTTAAGTATTTTACACATTGGAATTTGGCAGATGTGCCCTGAGGAAAAACATGTCATCACAAGATGATGAATTGAATCCTGGAAGCAAATGAGTTTGTTTTGGCATAGTGCTTAACAAGGTGTTTGTCTCAATGAAAATGAGGAATTAGGTAGATGCATTTTATTCCATTATAATAAAACTATAAGGCGACGTCTACACTAGCATACTGTTAACAAGTAGGGGCTGGAAATTCTCACCCCTTTTTTAAACATAGAGTTTAACTGGTTAACCAATTAAACAGGATTTTACATCCCTGCTAGAAGAGTGACAGATGTGTTTCAAATATAAAGGTGACTACTTGAGCATGTGCCATAAATATACATTGGACTCTGCATTGCAACGTGTTTTGCAGCTACTGTAATTTAAGACTTAATACATCATTGATAGAAATGGCTCGGAGGGGGGACTGGTGATTTTGTTATCATTCTTGTCATTGTATTTATAACATCAGTTCTCTCTCTTAAACATACAAAAAACAAAGGTTTTACTGTCCAAGCCATCAGCTCACACTTAATTCCTCCTCAGTAGTGATTGTGGTCATGTGGGAAGGACAGGGACTCCTTTCCTGAGACTACTGTTGATGAGCCTGTGGAGAGGGTGGGAAGTGGGGAGGAGCCCTGGCACCATACACAGGGAGATGTAAGCTGCTCCAGGAAGAGGGGACAGGTAATTTATTTTTCCCACAGAGCAAAGGGGAACAGAGGAGTAATTGTTCTCACTGTTTATTCTCTGCTCTAGGCAAGGCATCTACATTCTACCTCTGATTCTGGGCAAAATTACAATCAAGCCCCAAGTGAAATCAGCATTAACTCTGCCAATTGGCCTGTAACAGCTCAATATTCAGTCTTTGCATTAAAGCACATCCAATGTGTATGGCTAAGGAGTGTTTTTTGAAGTATCTTTTAAACACAGAGATGGAAAACCAAAGAGGATATTAAATAAAGATAAGAGAAAATTAGAACACACAGAACACTAATAATGAAAAACACCAGTGACACCAATAGTACATTAAGTATCACAGCAATAGAAATAATAAAGTCTTTTCACAAGCTGTGGAGTCGCAACGGCTATGATGCTGTAGAAGCATTCCCAATCAAGATTTAGGGCTAAAATATGAGGAGGTGCTTTGCGTTTCAATGTGAAGCACCAAATAGCGTACAATTCACTGACAGGAATGATAGACAATAGGCAACAAACCTCCTGAAACCTTCATTTGAATAAGAGCTGCGGAATAAGGAAGACACAAATGTGATATAATATCCGATCATGGCCCTGCACTGGAATGAAATTTGGGCCCTGCTCCTGAATCTGTTGAAGGCAGAGAAAATGCTTGGACTTCAATAGGGATTGGATCAAGCCATAAATGCCTTAAGCAAAATACAAAAGTGGTTAATGGAGAAGATATTAGATCTCAGAAGACATTGCAAGTGTAAGAGAGAAAACACCATCAAAACATGGTGCAAGAAATATGAATGTCATCCTTTATTGGTTAAAGTATTTAAACTTTACTGTCTGAAATGTGTATAGCGTACAACATGATGATTGTGTCTCATGTTGATGTTGTTCTGTGAGGATTCAGCAAATATTACAGGTGAACACATGTCTGTGAGGTCACACCAGCTCAAGAACTGCACACACAGTACAGTGGGATAGACAAGATTGTCTATGATCATTGCCTGCTAGTGAGGTGTTCTTTTGTGCAGTTCACATTTTTCAGATAAGGCTAATCAAAAACACAGTGTGAAGCATGGACCTGCTTGCACCTGTAACAATGACAATAGAATTTGACTCCATAACTACATTTATTATAGGGGAAACGTATTTTAAAGTAGCTATTGAAAGACATTTTTCATTTTAGGGTGCTCATGGAAATCAATCCAGCTGAATTTTGAAAAACCACAAAAAGGAAAGAACTTAGGAAGTTTATAATAAATCATTTTCTCTAACTTCACTTTGCTTTGTTTTATAGAGTTCAGTCCCTCACTCCATTCATAGTGTCCTCATATTGACCGATAAGGAATCCGCATTTAGACCTGACAAAGATACTACAATACAGGTAAAATTAAGGGATGATTTGGAGTGATTAGAATGTTCACGCTATTTTGTAAAATTAAATTTTGTTATGAAAAGTTATTTGGCAAAATGTGACTTCAAAACATTGTTTAGAAGGGGCTAATTCTGCTATAATTCACTGAATAATACTCTCACCTTATGGTGTGTGTCGCTCCAGTTCAGTAGCACCTTACAGAATGAGTGGTGCCACTGAAATCTATAGCTATCTATAAGGTACTTCTCAATGTAAACCTTATTTTACACACTTATATGGTGACCATTACCATGATATCTGAGTACATCACGGTATTTAATGTATGTATCCATACCGCAGCCTTGTGTTGTAAGGATTATAGGGGTGGCAGGATTAGCCTTTTCACAACTAGACTTACTGCATAAACCAGTCTGATGAATTGTTCAAGTGGGTGACCAGAAATACATTTGTGTAAATTGTATTCTTTGTAATAATATAATAACTTAATGCTATCATTTTTATATTAACCAGGCATGAATTTTATAAATAAAGTATTTTTAAAAAACATAATTGATGGTTGTTTGAAATGAATATAAAGGTCACTGAAATTAAAGAGAAGAAATCAATGTATTATTTAAATCAATTAAAGCAGAAATGTGTTGTCCTGAACTTTTGTATGTAGAGTTCAAATATATCTTTTTTTCTCTCAATAAAACTTGATACCCAAAGAATTTTTAACAGTGACTCCTTTCTTTTCTTTATGTGTAATATTCAATAGGCATAGATTGCTGTTAGAGACTGCAATCTATGCCAATTGAATATTACACATAAAGAAAAAAAGTGCTTGAAATTTTTCCTTCTTCAATATAAATAGTAGCAGAAAATGTTTTCTACAAAGAAGATTTACTTCTTTGAGCCAGATTCTCATTTGGTTTAAATTTGCATAGCTCCATTGACCTCCATTCCAGAGGATAGAGTATCACACACAAAGAAAGTCAGAGGCTCTTTTCTTCACTTCGCTGATTTACACCTGCCTGAGGATCTGGCCCTCTGTCTCAGAGATTCTGGAAAATATTTTGGCAACTGGCTCTATGTAAGGTTTGTTTTCCCAATGGTTTCATTTATTGCATTAATAAACCTCCATTCACAATTTTTCTTTAACAGTATGAAGTCCTCACATCACTGAAGGCTCTGCAAAAGCTCATTGACTGTACCCAGTTGACAGCAGAATTTGATGGAACCTTTCTGTATAACCACCATGACTGGATGCGTTTCCGAAAAGTAAGCTAGTGCTTTCAACTCCTCTTACTTGTTCTCCTCTGATTTTATCTTCCCCTTTATATTTTCTTGATTGAACTTTTATTCTTTGTGAAAATCAGAAACAAATACTCCTAGCCAGAGTCTGGTATGCTGCATGTAGGTGGTGTAGAAACTTCCCCACACAGCTCTGCTACGGTACTCTGTTAATCCCTGGCTATGTCAATCCTTGGCCTCTGTCCAGCTGTGTCATAGTTTCAGGATTCAGACAGATTCCATCCGGGCTTCTGTGAAAATTGCCAAATTCACTTTCATTTTTTTGTCTAACACACGAACCTCTGGAGCCAGCTCCTTAGTTGGCGTCAATCATCTTAGCTTTGTTAACTTCAGGCCAGCTCTTAACTTCTTCACTAAAGTCAGTCGAGTTGTGCCAGTTTATGCCAGCTGAGAATCTGGCATCTATGGAGACTGTATTTAACCATAATTTCCAAGTACTGACTAGGAGAGCAATGGTCTTATTTAAGGTTATGCCTATTTAGATGTTTAAGTCCACTCCCCTGTGTCGAAGGTCTCAACATTGTTTTTATGTCCTTTTAATATGCCCTATTTCAGTTAAGAGAGTATTTTCTTTTACTGAATTAGATCTATACAACTCTTAGAGTGAAAGCAGTTATTCTGGTATAAAGGTGCTTTTTATCTGTGGAGGTTATTCCCTTCATTAGTTTGGTGCATTCCCTTTATTCCCCTTCACACAGGAATAGTTAAACTGGTATGATTGCAACCACTCTAAGGGATTGGTACCATTTAACTATACCGGTTTTAAACTGATATATTTAAAACAGTACAAAAAACGTGTAGAAAAGCCCTTACTGTGACTTACACACAAATAACTCTTTGTAACCATCTATGGCATTTTCAAATTTAAGAAGCCAAAGCAGTTTTCTGAGACTGTCTTTTTGAGTGTTTTTACCTGTTATAATGTTTTATCACTGCAGAAACTGGAACCCTTTGTTTCAAACTGCAAAGAGGCCATTGTCTTTCTACAGAACTCAGTCTGTTCGCTGAACTCTAACAGAACTCTAAGTACAGTGCAAGTAAGTATTGGCTGATATCACAAGTGCTGTGTCTTGAATTAAAAAAACTAGAAGTCTGATGTATAGTGGCGGTTATTAGAAAGAAGCTGAGTAGACGATATTTGGATCCCGAGAAGAATCAGGTTTACACTAGCATTCAGTTACAAGGCCAGAATAAGGTGTAAAGATTTAGTTTTGAAAGCACCAATATTCCACAAACTGCTCTCACAAAAGTTGAAACCCAGATTGTAGACATCTTGCAAGATGAGTCTTTCCCATATGTTTTTTCCCCATATCTGGGGTGGGGTAAACCTAGAAAATAGATCCTTTTGGTTTTTAATGCAACACAAAACTATAGGGATGGGTTCAAATGTAGCCATTCAAATTTGCACTCTTTTATTTTTAAGGGGCTTTGGATTCAGGGCTCTAGTTTTGGCCCATTTCCATTTTTTTAAGTAATTTTCTGTCAGATTCCTCCATCTACAAAAGAAGCACAGCTTAGTCAATTGTAGGATGGGCTTCCCCATGCTGCCTTGGCAGAGCGCCTGAATCGTAATCAACCTGAGCGACCAAGTGTGGTGAATCAGAGAACAGCTTAGTCTCCATAATGTTTGGGCCAAAAATTATTCCTAAAACTGGTTCAGCTCCACCCATAAAGGCAGTACTGGAAATACAAGTATGGCAAGGCATTAACATTGTTGCATTATTGTTTTGTTTTATAAAACAATTGTTTTGTAACATTGCTATGCTGTGTTATCAATGTACTATCTGTGTTTCTAGTAAAATGAGATCAATAGTGTTTCTTCTGCATAGGAGGTCAGTGACTTAATCGAGAAACACAAGACAATGATGAAACTTGTTTTGGAAGATGCCTTGTTGGTAACATTAAGGCTAGAGGGTGGGACAATCCTCGCAAGACTCCGGAAAGAGGAATTCTGCAATACTGAAGACTACCGGTAAGTGCTTATTCTGCAATAAGTGCTGCATCAGAGATCCAGTTAATAAGAGAAGGGGGAAAAGGAAAGAAAGGGCATACCTCCATGGTACTGCAGTCCAGTTGCGGGGGAGGGGGAAGGTATGAATTGTAGAGAGTACCACATCTGTCATTAAACTGTCCCCATGTAAACCCTGATAGGGTGAAATAGAAGGCACCTAGTTCACAGAGATGCAGTCCTATAGGAGCACTGTAACAGGGTTGCTGGGCCGTCATGTGAATCTGGGCTCTTCTCTCCTGTTCCAGTCGAGGTTCTCTCAGTTGGGTCAGTCAAGCTTTCATCCAAGTGCAGAATACACTGTGTTATGCGTGCCAAGGCACGTGCAGATGTACCACCAGTAGAAATAAAAAAGCTAATTTATACACGTGCACGCACACACACACGCACGCGCACACACACCCTGCGGCTGTCATCTGGTATGCTGATGATGCTAGTGAGACTGCCTACCTGCCCCTTGTGGCGCGCTACCACCCTGTCCTGCTGGGCAAGAAGCTTTGGTCCCCCAGACAAGACTCAGCATTGGAGTAACAGCCCCTCAGTAGAGCAGTGCAGATGCTGAACCAGCTCAGCTCTGGAAGAGGCTTAGCTATAGGGCTATTAACAGCACCCAGGAACATGATCCCCCCCAAAGGATCCAAAATCCCAAATAATCTGTCTTCCTTGACCAATGAAAGAAAGATATGCACAGTGGTTGCTTTCCCCCTCAGGTAACAATTATTCGCACTGGGCCCGATAATAAACAAAAGTGTTTTTATTAAGAATAAAAAGTAGCATTCCAAGAGATTGCAAGTGAAAACAGACAGATCAAAGTGAGTAACTAATCCAAAATAAACAAAATGTGCAAATTAAGCCTAATACACTAAAAATATCACAGAACAAAATTCTCACCCTAGTCCTTATTCTAGATAAAAGCTTTCATGACAAATGATCTTTTCTCTCTAGCTCAGGTCTACAGCTCTGTGTGTGATTAGAATTCTTTGTTTTCAGGTTTCTTCATGTGTATCTACTTAGGGTGGGATTTTGAAGACTTTATGCCTAACATGGGTGCCAGATAATGAATCTGCTTAGCTGCCCATCCATCTCTCCATAGCCTCTGTCCTCTAAGGCCAGCCAAGAAGTGTGCCCAAGCTGTCTCCCTCCAGCCCCAGCTTCCTGTAACCAGCCAAGAAGCTGGCTGTGTCCCTTCTAGCCAGAATCCGATTCCCTCTTCCCTGGAAAAAGGTTCACCTGACTGGATCAAAGCTGTATATATAGCTATGGGTTAGTGTCGCCTGTCTGACTGAAACAACTGAATGGAGAGCCATAGTTTTAAAAAATGGCTCATGATTTTGGGGTGCCTTAGAGACTCTGCTAAGCTAAAAGCACTTGAGCACCCAGTAGCTGAAATACTTCAAATCACTAGTCACTTTTGAAAATCTTTGCTTGGCTGATTAACAGATTTTATTATTGTCTTCTTCTGCAATATAGAGTGCACTCTTCTGTCATTGTGTTTGCATTGATATGTGTGTCATTCTCCCCCACATAGAGATGCCATGGAGGCTATAACAAGATTGTACAATCAGGTAGATGAGGAGGTCCACAGGTTGGTTCTCATTTCGAACAAGTGTCTGCAACAACTGGAGAATCTCCAGGAAATAAGAAAATTTGAAGAAGATTGTGACCAGGTCTGTACTATTTTTGAGACTTAATTTAAACTAGGCATACGGCTAACCTTCCATTTCTCCATTCTTGGGGCCAAATTCATCTATGAATATAAGCTACGTATTGGGCTAGCCATATAAGTGCAGTGCAAATAATGGCACAGTTCAGGGCAACTGCACCTGTATTCCTTTATGGTTCAGCAAGGACACTCACTCTAGGCTCCCAACTTCTCAGATGTCCCCTCTCCTATTCAGAAATCTGTGTTCCTCTTCCTCCTCACGTGGGGTTTCAGGCTACACAATGGCTACCTACACTGTGAAATCTCTAATAGGTCAGACTAAGTAGGCCTGCTTTGCTTTTTCCTCAGAGGTTGTGAACAGTTGTAAGTTACCACCCAGCCCTTCTAAAACAAGCACATTTATTCTTAAGGTGAAAGCACGTCAGGGTATGTCTACACTACCCTCCTAGTTCGAACTAGGAGGGTAATGTAGGCATACCGCACTTGCAAATGAAGCCCGGGATTTGAATTTCCCGGGCTTCATTTGCATAAGCGGGGCGCCGCCATTTTTAAAACCCCGCTCGTTCGAACCCCGTGCAGCGCGGCTACACGGGGCACGAACTAGGTAGTTCGAACTAGGCTTCCTCGTGGAATGAGGAGTAACGGTAGTTCGAACTAGGAAGCCTAGTTCGAACTACCTAGTTCGTGCCCCGTGTAGCCGCGCTGCACGGGGTTCGAACGAGCGGGGTTTTAAAAATGGCGGCTCCCCCCCTTTTCACCCCGCTTATGCAAATGAAGCCCGGGAAATTCAAATCCCGGGCTTCATTTGCAAGTGCGGTATGCCTACATTATCCCGCTAGTTCGAACTAGCAGAGTAGTGTAGACATACCCTCAGAGAAAACATATTAAAAACAGTGAAAGACTTTACGTGCCTGCTCATAAGCCAGAGATCCTCCCACTCCAGCAAGGGTTCTGGCAGTCCTTCATTCAGTCCCTCAAACCCTAGCATACTTATTTTTTGTAGTCACAAGTTCGTAACAGCTTTTGCTCAGAACAAGAACCCATATGCACAGGTTAGCCTTTCCTTCCTACAGACTGGGTCTGATCCTTAGAGACCTTGAAAAGGTATTCAGCCAGGCATTGGTTCTCTCTGCAAGGCCTCGCTTCAAAAGGTTGTGTCCAGAGATTGGACTTTGCATTCTTCTCCTCCCAAGGGTCTCCTGGGAAACCCACTTCACTTCGTTGGTCCTGAAAGTTCATTGTTATCTGGCACTTGGTTCAAAATAGTTCTTTGAATCTCAAAGCACTTCTCATTCGCTGCATCTCCCCCCTAGAACAGATATGTTAATCCCACAGTAATACATAAACTTTGATTTTTTTTTTCATACATTGGACCGTAAAGTTATTTAAACTTAATTCAGTAAATCTTGCAAAGATATTGAAGGAAATTGCGATATCTGTCATAAGAGTAACTTGCATTGATTTGGCGTTCGGCAGGTACAGGAAATTAACGTAAGTAAGTTTTGGGTATTCTCCACATATCAAATTAACCTTTAGCATGAGGGCATGTAACTCACATTGACCTGGCGCTGGTGGCTGAGGGTGTTGTGGATATAAGTTAAAGAAGGTAGATGGGGATGCATTATTCTGCATCCTTCATAGTTCAGTTAGAAGAGTATTTGTACAGGTTGAACATCTAAAAACTGGGACTCTCTGGTCCAGCAACATCAATGGTTCTGCCAGATCACAAGTGTTCCCGGACCAGAGAGACTCAGCGTCCAGGAATCGGATGGGAGGAGGCCTGCAGCCAGGAGCCCTACCGAGGCTGGGAGTCCAGCCAGGGTCTGCAACTAGGAGTCTGACCGTGGCCTGTGCCAGCAGGGCCAGCAGCCTGTCCGGAGCAGGCAGCCCTTAGTGGGGCCAGTAGTAGGGCCAGCAGCCCAGCTGGAGCTGGAAGCAAAGCCAGTTTGATAGGAGCTAGGACTGGGCAGGAGAGGTCAGCAGGTGAGGCCAGGAGTGAAACTGGGCAGGGGGGCTAGAATTGATCTCTCCTCATCTGGCAAACTCCCTCATCTGAGACCAGTCAGGTCCCAAGATGCGGGACCAAGGAGGTTCAACCTGTAGTAAACTTTCCACGTCAGTGAAATATCTTTAATAAGCTCTGAGGGTGTAATTTGTTTTGATAAATTTGCTTAATTTCTGTGTTTAGATACCATTTACTAATTAATATTTAAAAAACCTTGTCTTGTATCCTATATAGATAAAATTCTGGTTTGAAAATGAAAGTGAGAAATATCTTGGCCCTCTAGATCACAAGTTGCTTTCACTGGAAAGTGTAAAGAAGCAGCAAGAAGAATTCACAGTTTTCAGTGACAAAGTGATGGTAAGCATTGTACTAAGGAACACCCATCTTTGCTTTCATTATTTACTTGCATCTGCAATAGCCTAGAAAATTAATCGGGGAAATACAAACCAGAGTTGGTTTAAGAATGTTAATTTCATTGATTGTTACTAAATATAACAACACAAACTCTGTGGCTCTAGAAAAGGTACTGCCTCTTTAACCGAATTTTTATTTTACATCCAAGAAGAAAACAAGTAATGCACAGAGAGGGGGAACCATGCATGCACAAGAGGGACTGCACACATCTGTAAAGCGTAACTGAGAGAATTTAGGAGAGAATTTTTAAAATTAATTTGAAGCCGAAACAAAAACAATCGTAAATAACACTAGTAATCAAAGTGCCTACATAGTACTGGAGATGGAGCTCTGGAGTTTAAAATAATAGGGTCCATAATCCAATCCCCACTGAAGTAACTGGAAAGATTCCTCCTGACTACAGTGGACTTTGGGCCAGACCCAAAGTCAACTACCACTTGAGCTAAAGGAGAATTGCTGCTTTCCTGAGAGAGAATGTTTACTCTTCAACATTTTTTTGAGACCTACCCTAGTGTCATATATGCAGCTCTCCATCACCATACATCCATTAGGAGGAGGAGGAGGAGTGTAAGGCACAGCAACCAATAACTGGTAAATGAAGCCAGAGTAAAAATGGGAAGTTACATACATAGGTGCTTTCTTAGAGCTTAATAAAGAGAAAAATTTAGTTTATAATTATTTCATATAAAGAAATTGCCCCAAGAAGGGCACGAGAGAGTTAATACTCTGAGAACTTTTGTTTCTCACGTAATAAGTGCAACATAACCATGACTTTACTCTAAACATGTAATAATAGTCCTTTTCAAATGTTCAAGCTTCACTGTCTGTAGATTTTGCTCCATCCTATCATTATATTATTTCTTTATGCTTTCCAAAGAAATTTAGACTAAAAAAAGGCCAATCATGACTTTATATTAGCAAAATGGTATAAAAAGGGGGGCAAAAGAACCAAAAAGGATCAACAAGAGTGATGTTCACTTTGGACCTCTCACTCACGTTTAGCTCTTCTGATGGAGGGAGGGGGGAGCAAAGGGGCTTGGGGCTCCGACCCTTTAAATCGCTGCTGGAATGCCATCTCCATGGTGCGCTCCAGAGGGCTGAGGTGTGGCGCACTGCACTGCACTCTGCTCCATGTGGCACTGAAGGCTGACTGCCCCGAGCCCTGCCCCTTCCACCTGAGGCTTCTCCCTTTCTGGGAGCACAGAGCCAGGTGTCCCCCCACCTTGCCCAGGAGCCCCTAAAGGCTGTCGACACCCCCTGCTCACTTTACAATTGGCCTATTACCAGATTTGTTGGCATTGTATGGAGTAAATGACAATTCTGAACACGAAATCAGACAGCAGAAGCAGCAATGTATTAATGTAGCAGGATTCATTTTGTACTCCACAGCAGTATTACGAGAAAGGGCTGGAGCTGATGCAAAAGAACTGCTCACTGAACTTGGAAGAAAAAGTTCAGACCTTCAGGAGTTATCTGAGTGATGTCAGCACACAGACAGAGAAAAGGAAGAGTGAGCTAGAGAAGCTGGTCCACTTATATGAGTTTTACGAGATGGTAAGTGAAACGTTTGTGGTTCAGTACAGATTTACAGTAGTTTAAATATGTGTGGAACATAGTCTGTAAAAATGTGTGTTGTGTGAGCTCTTTCTCCTCCACTGCAAGGTACTGGAGGTGCGAGCGGAGATACTGATGTGCTTTCCAAAGCACTGCACCTGGTAGTATGATTACTTTGCATCAGGGCTGACATTTCTTCTCATGCTTTTTTTTGCCACATCCTAGCTAATGAATGGTGTTTGTCCATGAGGTTTCCAATGAGGCCTGTTTGAAAGACTCTAGTGAGATAAAGCCCACAGGATCAAATTTGAAGAATATTAAAATGGCATGTCAGAATCTGGCAAACATCCAGAGGACTGTGATCAGACTTCAGAGCACTGATGAACTTCAGAAATTTTCTGGAGTAATGTGTAGTTTGGCAGCTTAAAATTATGTGCTCTGTGGCACCCACTAACATCCTCACAGTAACAAATGAGACTCTGGAAAGGGGTACAGTTATCTAGCCCTATGAACGTGTTTCACAGAGAGAAAATTCTACTGCTCACCCGGTTTCCTAACTGTGGTGGTGCTGTTGATGGAACTCGTTCACACATACAAAGCACAAGCACCTAAAGTGCACAGTTAACACCTTTGGTGGCTGGCCACTATAAATGGCAGCCGTTTGAGAAGGTTTTGTACTAAGCTGAGAATTGGGCTCTCCAGTGCTAGGCTGAGTATCACTGCCAGGAAAAAGCCTGAATGCACCTGTTCTGAGGAGAATTAGCTCATCAGTCTCCAGGGCTGCCAAATTATTACAATGAAACTTTGCCATTCTTCATTTGTGAAATGGGATGATCAGTGAAAGTGTCTTTGCTATTTTTGTCTCTCTTGAAGTTTGACACAAAATGAAAGTGTCAGAGTAAAAAACACCCACCCCACCAGCATGGCTGCTGCTAGCTTCAGAGCAGTGTCGTGTCTCCTCAGAGCTTGGGGTGTACTGTGCTCCACCACCTCTGGGGGATCCCTGACCCCACTATACCCTGGGAGGAAGGGATAAGGGATCCATGGGAGGTTGTAAGGAAATTTGGGGCTGACTTCCACATATCACCCTTACTGCCTGGGTGCCTCTGCACATACAGCCCCACAGAGCAGGGGGAGGTAGGGGAGCCAGGAGCAGAAGATAAGGAGAGGAGCGGGACCAAGCAGCTACCCTGCAGGGGGTGGAGCAACCACAGTTTTGGGGATCATTCCATCTCTGGCCATGCTGAGCCAGGAACTCTGCTATTCCTCCTCCCTGCAAGGTAGCCACTTATTCCCAGCTTTGTTCTTTAGCCCTTGCTTCAGAGCACCCTCCCTCCCACCCCACCCCTCCTGGGACTGCACCACAGATTGTTGGCACAGAGAGGATTAAGGAAGTTACCCCATGGAACTCTGGGATACATTGGGACTTCTGGGACCCGAGACAAGCCAGAGCCACATGCACACAGGAAAGCAATAGGGCTTGGATTCTAGGTCCGATCTTAACAGGGGCTTGGACCCTCCAACCTTGAATCTGAGCCCTAAGTTAACACAATTGGATGCTGGGGTTTACCATATGAAGCAAAATTCACCCCTATGTAAAGGGACAGCACAATATCTATTCAGCGCTTATATCCTGTTAACATCTATTCTGAGTGCTTAAATGGGACTTAAAGGATGCACGGGTTTGCTGATCCTCTGCCCAAGATTGATTTTTTACCCTGATATTTGTAAATTGCTCTGTGTGTCTAAAACAGAAGATGTTATATAAGTACACATTCTTATTATTTAACTGTACTTTTTGCTCTTAATCCAGGCACATGGGTGGATGTTACACTGCAATGAGTATCTTGAACATCTTACCCTGGAGAACAAATATTCTGAATCAGTGATTGAGAGTTTGCAGAGCTACCAACAAGAAGCTACAAAAGTTTCTGCTCAAAACTTTCAAAAAGTGAATGAGATGGTATCGGGCCTGGCTAGCAAAAAGGAACTAAAACAGTGGAATATTTTGTGGCTGAAATGTCAGCAAACAAGGCACCATTTAGAAGAGGTCCTTTCTGAAGCTCTCAAAGGTTTCAAAAAGGAAAATTCTCACAGAGTCCCCCAGGAAGTTGATGTAAAAATTAACTGTGAGTTTGATTCTGAAGGTGCCAGAGGACCAAGTCAGTCCCTTTCCCAATTCTTGTCTAGCCCTGATGGTAACATTTGGGATAATAATGTTAAGCCATTGCATAAACCTCAGCATACTAGCCTGCCATCAGGAGTGCCACCTTTTTTTGACCATGAAAATGCGCATCAAAATATGGATGTATTTGTACAGTTTAATGCATCTCCGCAACAGACACTTACTCCGCTCCTGGGTGGGCTTCAAAGGACTAGCCCAATCTCAGAAGATATGGACAATGTTTCCATCTCAGGATCAGCATCCTGCTATTCTGAGCCACTCCAGTCACCAACTACCCGCCATAGAAAACATCCACAAAAGAAAATCATGAAGAAAACTCAAAGCTTTGAGTTTACTCAGCTTGAGAGCAGCCACAGCGAGGTGCATCGCCATGGATACACTGGTGTTTATATCAAAGGATTGGAGGTGGCCAGCAACATTGCTGCTGAGAAGAAATACATGCAGCGCTTGAATATTAAAAGCCCTTTGATTAGTAGAAACCGAAGTTTATCTTCCCCCTCAAGGATCCACCATACAGAAGAAGAAGAATTAAAAAAGAGAGCAGGAAGGTGAGAAATGGCCACAACACAATCCATTCTGTTGAGTGAGGAAAAAAATAAAGTACTTTAATATTCTAAACACGTTCTGAAAAACAGAGTTTAAAAGAGACATTAAATTCAAAATGCAGAATACGAAATAAGTTGTTTATTCTAAAGGGATACTGTCAAGTCATTTTTTAGGCTCAACATTTAGGTTAGGTCTGGGGCAGGATTTTCGATAGTTTGTACAACTTAATAGACAAAATCCTTACAAACTTTTTATTTGATGCCCATTGAAATCAAGTAAGAATTTAGAGGAAACTGAGTAAGGGCTTCAAGAGTTAAGCTCCAATCCTGTGAAGACTTACACACATGCTTAATTAAACTCAGAGTTCAAATCCTATGCCTGGAGAATTGCTAATATAGTACCCATTTTTAAGAAAGGGGAAAAAAGTGATCTGGGAAACTACAAGCCTGTTAATTTAACCTCACCTGTATGCATGGTCTGGGAACAAGTTTTGAGAAAGAAAGTACTTTTCAAAGGAACATAGAGGTAAGCATTAATTAGGTTAAAATACAACATAGTTTTACAAATGTCGACTATGCCAGGCCAATTTGATCTTTTTCTTTGAGAAGGTAACTAATTTTTTTAGATGACAGAAATACAGTAGATATAACCTATCTGGATTTCAATAAGGTATTGGATATAGTTCCAGATGGGAAACTGTGAGAGAATTGAAAGTTGGATAAGGGTCTGGTTAAAGAGGAGACTACAGTGGGTTATACTGAAAGGTAAACTGTCAGGCTGGAGGGAAGTTGTTAATGGAGTTCCTCAGGGATCCAATCTTATTTAATATTTTTATTAATGACCTTGGCACAAAAGTGGGTGAGTGCTAATAAAATTTGCAGATGGCATAATGTTGGGAGGTATTGCCAATATGGAGGAGGACTGAAGTATCACACAGGAAGATCTTGATGACCTTAAAACTGGAGTAATAGAAATGAATGAAATGTAATAGTGCAAAGTGCAAGGTCATGCATTTAGGGATTGACAACAAGAACTTTAGCTATAAGCTGGGGACATATCTACTGGAAGCAAAAGAGGAGGAGAAAGACCTGGGTATAGTCATTGTGCACAGGTTGACTATGAGTCATCAGTGTGATGCAGCTGTTTAAAATGAATGCAGTCCTAAGATGCATCCGGCAAGGTATTTCCAGTGGAGAGAGGGAAGTGTTATTGCTGTTATGCTAGGCATTAGTAAGACCTCATCTGGAATACTGTGTGCAGTTCTGGTCTCACATATTTAAGAAGGATGAACTCAAACTGGAACAGGTACAGAGAAAGGCTACTAGAATGATCAGAGGAATGGAAAACCTCTATGAGAGAAGACTCAAAGAGGTTGACTTGTTTAGCCTAACCAAGCAAAGGCACAGGGGAGAGGCATTTGCTTTGTGTAAATAACAGAGGGAGAGGAGTAATTTAGGTTAAGTGCCAGCTCAAGAACAAATAAGTGCGGACTCAAGAACAAATTGATATGAACAGGCCATCAACAACTCAAGATCTGAAATTAAATGAAGGTTTTTAACCATCAGAGAAGTGAAGTTCTGGAACAGCCTTCCAAGAGGAGCAGTGGGAACAAAAAAACTGACTCTCTTCAAGACTGAGTTTGACTAGTAGTAGTAAATATGCCCAATGGCCTTTGACGAGACACTAGATGGGCAGGATTCTCAGTTACTACAGAGAATTTTTTCCCAGGTGCCTTGCCAAAACGCTCAGGGTATAACTGAATATTTGGGGTCAGGAAGGATTTTTCCCTGGGTCAGATTGGCAAAGATACTGGGGGGAGGGAAGGGAGTTGCCTTCTGCTGCAGCATTGGGCATGGGTCACTTGCAGATTTAAATTAGTGTAAACAGTGGAGTCTCTGTAACTTTGAAGTCTTGTGATTTGAGAATGTAAGTAAAATGCCGAGAGTATGGGTCTATTTAAAGGGGTGAGTGGGTGAGGTTTTGTGGCTTGCAATGTGCAAAAGATCAAATTAGATGATCTTGATGAGGGATCTACCAAATTCACTGTCCATGTTGGTCAATTTCATGGTCATAGGATTCTTAAAATCATAAATTCATTATTTCAGCTATTTAAATCTGAAATTTTGCAATGTTATAATTGTAAGGGTCCTGATCAGAAAAGTTTCGGAAGGTTGCAAGGTTATTGTAGTGGGGGGTGGGTATGGTACTGCTATCCATACTTCTGCACAGTGCTGCCTTCACAGCTGGGCAGCTGGAGAGTGATGGCTGCTGGCCAGGAGCCCAGCTCTCAAGTCAGATCCATCGCCAGCAGCTATGTAGAAGTAAGGATGCCAAGGTATGATATTGCCACCTTTACTTCTGCACTGCTGACCTTCGGCAGCAGCCACCACTCTCTCGCTGCCCATTTCTGAAGATAGAAGCATAGAAGAAAGGTAGCATGGTTTAATATTGACACCCTACATCTGTACTGCTACTGGTGGAGTGCTGCCTTTCCAGCTGGACACCTGGCCAACAACTGCTGCTCACCAGCCACTGCTCTCCTGCCACCCAGCTGTGAAGGCAGAGTAGGAACAAGGATAGCAATATCATGCCTTCCCGTAAAATAACCTTGTGACTCCCCATCCCTTTTGGGTCAGGACCCCCCAGTTTGAGCACCATTGGTCTCCTCTATCAAATCTGTACAGTATAGCATTGAAGCACACACAAGTCCAGTTTTCACATGAAGAGTTTTTTATGCCCATGAATTTGGTAGGGCCCTAATCATAATACAGTCAAACTTTTGTTATCTGGCACTCTGTTAACCAGAAAACTTTGTTAACCGGCTTTGCCCCCAGCCAAAATACTATCATATCTTCAGGCACACAGGCCTGGCTTAGTTTATCATAATTGGCTTAACAATTTTTTATTTAAGACGTACTAATCATCTTTAACTAAAAACAGAAATGTGAGACCAACTGCCTCACACTATAAAATGACCAATATTAAAAACTTGAGTTTTACTATTATTTTCCTAGGCTGATGGGACCCTAAGATAACCGGAATTTTTAGATAACTGGAACGCCCTAATCCCCGAGCGTGCCGGATAACTCAGGTTTTACTGTAGTCTCTTCTCACCTTAAAGTCTGAGTCTAACTTGACTCACTGTGAGCAGTCCTACTGAAAATCAATAGGACTATTTTACATGTGTGTAAATCTGTTCAGGATTGAGGCCTTAGCTTAGTATGAAAAGAAATGTTTCCTTATTTTTTCCAATATTATTGTATTGGGGTTTGCAGTTGAAATGTTTCCCTCCAGTTTTGGAAAACCAGCTCCATAATACTGCTATGTAAGAGCTAGAAATTGAAACTAACCAAAACTAACTAAGTTGAGTGAAGTGCATATAGTAATCACAAGGCACATTTAAAAATTAATTATTTTTTACAAGTATTTCAATTTTAATAATCTAAGTAAGAATGGTAAATAACCACTTTAAATATATTATTGTTATCTTGACAGTGTTCCTTAAAAAATGACCATTAAAATAGTTTGTTTTTCTTTAAGATAAAGTATACTTGTACTAGAGTTGCTTGTAGAATATTATGGAAATACAGATAAACATAATTTACAGATATAGAGGGAATTTAAATAATGTCTTCTTCTCTGATTTGAATTTGACATTCTGTTTAAGTTTCACATTTTTTTTCTATCAAACTTACTTTTGTGTGTATGCTCTCGCGCTCTCTCCTGGTTAGGGTCCCACCTCCCTGGAATTTTGTATTTTAACAGTGTTAAGTTATCCCACGGTTAGTTAAAACAAGATTAAAAGGAAGACTAAAATTTGACTTCTCTATAGAAGGAAACTGAAATAAAAAACGATTATCAAATCTATCTATATTTGATTAATCGTGTACAAAAAAAAGAAAAAAGAACTAAACTTTGTGTGTGCATGAACAGAGTTCAAGGTTTGTGTTTAAGTTTTTTAAAAAGTCAAGCTGGGTTTACATTTGATGTCTAGTAATTGAGGGACAGATTCTGATATTCTTAAACACACCAGGTAACACCATTGAAAGCAATCCTATTGAAGCTAGTGGGATTACTCATGCAATAAGGTGATACTCACTTTGAGTCAGAATATCAAAACATGTCCCTCTTGATATAATTATACATTTTGTTTATAGTATCTGTGTATTTTATCTTTCAAGGACTCTAATTCAGCCAACCATCCTTATTCAGCAAAAAGTTTATTCAGATGGTTAAATCCCATCAATGTAATGATCTTGTAGTAATGTTACCGTCAATTTGTACAACAGAGGAAGAATGGATATCCCGTGTGATCTTTCTTGCACAGAAATTGGTGTTTTTAAAAAGTCTGTTTAGTTTCAGTCTTTTAAATCTGTAAATGCTACTTTTAAATGGACCAAAACAATTTGTGCAAACTGAAATATGTACTTTCCTCTTTTAAAATATATGTACATTGACCTTTAGTGGCTACAACAAACAATCCAATATAATCAAAGTAGTTTGTGGTTTTATTTGACTTTACTCCGTTCATTAAAAGAGTAAACTGTGGAATGGTCCACTTTTCCATAGTGCCTTCTTATAAAATTTGGATTCATCATTTTAGAGCTATGGAAATGCAATACAAATTTGTTCAGGTTAAGAGCATCAGTTTCCCCGTTTAAGCACCAATCCTACAGATGCTTAAATCCATGTGATTTTGGGTACTTATCTCCATACATAAATCTTACTTTTATTAACTATTCTGGACCTAATAATGGGACTGGACCAAATAATGGGACTACAGACTTTTATAGTATTTCATCAGGTTCAGTGTTTTAATAGGAGTTTACAAAAACTGCACCCAATCCTGCAAACATTTGAAAAAAGTTAGTCCTATAGAGCTACTGCAGTCAATACCACTTTTATGAGATCAGTAACTTTTATTCACATGGCTGAGTATTTGCAGGATTAGGTCTGCTGAAAGTTGATAATAATGCATTTGTATTGTATTCATTAATACATCAAAATAGTGTTTTATTTATGATTTTCAACTCTGGCATGTTGTAAATTACAATATGCTCTTCATTTCTTTATGGAAAAGTCCTTTAGAATTTAATAAGGACAAAACCAATAAGAATCGAATAGTAATAATCATAAAATCTCTCAGTCAATAAATGCTGGCATAGTTTTTGTACTTTTTTTATTTTTTATTATCCAATAGAATTCTATTTCAAGTATAATTTGTTTAATTTGTTTATTAAATTATGTGGAATTTTTCCATAAAGGGCAAAACATAGTACAATGTAGTGACTCAAGAATGAGGCTGACTATGGACTCATGAGACCTGATTTTCCTGTTATTCGCTGTCTACTGACTCAGTATGTCACTGTGCACAGTCTGCTAGGCACCCATGCATTAGTGTCAATCCCAGCCATTCAAAACCCGTGAGTCAAGTCCTATAATGCATTAGCTTGTTTTACAAATCATGAGGTTTTACAAATGTGGTGTCTATTTTTTAACTTCTTGCATTTGTTAAGCTTTTGGGGGTAGGATTACAAATTTTGTTTGGATGTATTCCTGGAGGTTTCATCACAAGGTGTAATCTTTAATTCCTGGAGACTCCAGGAGAATCCTGGAGCATTGGCAACCCTATTTGAAACTCATGTCTTTTAGCTTTACTCTACAACTATGAGAACTAAGTAGGGTTGCCAGGTGTCTGGTTTTTGCCTGGACTGTCTGTTATTTGTGTCCCCTGTCCGGTAAAAATACCAGAAAATTTTGTTAAACTATCTGGCAACCCTAGAACTAAGAAATGTATTTATTTTAATACCTCAAGATTCTCATGTGTTCACCTGACTCCATGTGCTGGAACTTTAAGAAAAACACCAAATATCATGGAAGTGGAAATAAAAATTTTGAGAGTTGACAATGCTACTTCTACAGAGGTCAGACATAACCTGTTCCTTGAATGCTTTGGGACTCTGATTTCTCATAAATAGAACTGATTTGTGTGTTGAAAGATGTAAAGCTTTCAACAGAATTTTTTATGAGAAAAATTCTCGAAAAATTTTGGGGGGGAGGGATAGCTCAGTGGTTTGAGCATTGGCCTGCTAAACCCTGGGTTGTGAGTTCAATCCTTGCAGAGGCAATCTGGGGCAAAAATTCATCAGGGATGGTACTTGGTCCTGCTGTGAAGGCAAGGGACTGGACTCAATGACCTTTCAAGGTCCCTTCCAGTTCTAGGAGATAGGCAATCTCCATTATAAAAAAAATTGAATTTTAATGAAAAATGAAGTAATTTTTTTCACAAAAATTGTCATTAAAATGTTGTGCTGTTTTTCATCCTGTTCTAGAAATGAGCAAACTAATGCTTCCTTTACAGAGTTGTTGTTGGCTTACTTAATATTTGCAAAATGCTTTCTGACCTCCTTGTTCCTTCCGGTGAGAAACAGAAGAGAGGTCACAGTGTAATGCTATTTTATTATGGGATTAGAAGGCCTGGACTAAAACACTTAAATCCATATCCAGATTTTTATCCAACCCCACTTAAAGCTTGTGGTTATCCAGATCTGGGATTTCATTTTGGACTTTCATGCAAATTATTGGCCACAGAATTCATCCAGAAATCTGGATTTGGATTTGATACCCCATGTTCAGGGATGCTGAGCTTTAGGGTTTAAGATTTGAGCTCATCTCTAATCTTGACACTAAGAGGCTACTGTAAAATGTGTATCCCTTTTGGGGCAGGAAATCCTGGCTGACGTTAGTCTAGTTGGCTGCTTCAATGAAGGTTTAAGAGCTAGCCAGTTTCATGAGGGAAAAAATTCATAATATAAATAGTTATGTCCTTCCAGCTGATGGAAATGTTAGTATGAAACATCAAATGCCATTAAAACAATTTAATAAATCAAAAAGTCCTCTGTATTGTCCATCAGCTATGTCCAGCTCATCTAGTATGCTGAAAATCAAGTTTATTCAGCAACAATACCCATTGTGAGAATCTACAATAGTGGTTGTGTTTTGTTCGATTTGTTATGATAGAAGTAAAGATTAAAATCTGTTCCTGTTATTATTAACAAGCCAAGAATGTTTCTTCTATTTTTAAGGTGTTTATTGAAATTATTGTAGGAATGTTAATATGGAAAAGAAAAAAACGTAGCAATATTATGAAGTCAAACTTGCTCCATTTTGTATTATTAGGATGTGGTGTAGGTTCAATTCCTTGCAAATAAAGTACCATAGTTAATGGAATATCAAGAAAACAATATTTTCTATACTTTTATTTCTCAATCATATGAGAATACACATTTTTCCTTAAAGAAATTATTTGCTTCTTGTGTTGTCAAGTGTTTAATGTTTATCTGAAATTCTCTTTTCTTTCAAAGTGATTGCTTACCCAGTTTGCCTTGTTTATCAGAATATGTTTTTGCTAGATGCAAATCTTCTCTAACACTAGAACTGGGCACATATTTTTATCTTTCAGAACTGAACATGCTTTCTCAATGGGAGCTCATAATTTATCAGAGGACACATTGTGTGGGAAACTCTGAGAATTCAGCTATATGTTAGAGTAACATTCCTGGGATGATATACTGTTTCCAAACTGAATGCAGGAATGGATAAGGTCATGACACTTTTGCATATGCAATAGAAAGTTCTTTAATGCAATGAAAAAGCCTTTCCAGAGTTCAACATTCTTTCTTTTCTGGCTGCTTAGCTGTTACACTACAGCTGCTGTAGACTATTGTAGACCAAAATCTGTCTTCTGTTATGCCTGCATAACTCCACTGAAATCAATGAAATTACACCATTGTAACCGAGGGCAAAATTTGCTCCTGAGAAAAAAGGAGAAAATATGAAATGTTTTCTATAATGGTAAACAACTTAGCAGCCAGAGCCAGGGCTACAACATGATTTCCACTGACAGGTAAAAATGAGCTGAAGAATGCAAATAAGCAAAGACTCACTCAGTATTCAGAGATTACACATTGTCATGATTTGTCAGTGTTCAAAACAGGTGTTCTGTGTCTTCCAGCAGCAAAGTGCAACATATAATGGATGAAATGATCACAACAGAAAGGGAATATGTTAGATCCTTAGGATATATCATCGACAACTATTTTCCAGAAATGGAAAGAATCGATTTACCTCAGGATTTGCGAGGGAAGCGGAATATTATCTTTGGGAACCTGGAGAAGCTCTATGATTTCCATTGCCAGTATTTTCTAAAAGAGCTGGAACATTGCAGAGACTTCCCACTGCGTGTCAGCCACTGTTTTCTCAGACATGTAAGTCCCAATTCCAAAGAAGGGTGCCTTCTTAGAACCAGACATTTTGAGTTAACCACAGATCCTAATACAGAGTAAATCATTTCACTTACCTTTTTGTGTTTCTCATAGTGTGCATAACCTAGATGTCCTGTGACAAATTTTTACTGTTGACTATGTATGTGGCCTATTGTATTCTTTCAGAGGTTTGTAAACATACTCCTGTGTCCTCACACAACTGCACCTCTTGTGAGCAAAACATGCTGTCTGGACGCTTTCTAAATTTGTCAAAAGTAATAGTAGAGTTTGCTATACAAGTGATAATGAGACCGCTATGTTTTCAAGTTTTCTATAAATACATAAGTTTTCTATTAATTTTGTTTCCTGTTATGAACCAATGCATGGATGTGGATGGAAAAGTATGTAGGCTTATCTGATCACTCTAATATCAACAAGTGAGTTGGGACAAGGGGGCTTGATGTTGTTTCAAGAGGAAACAAAGGGTAAATTCCACTCATTCACCTTTTTGACAGTAATCTGTTCAAGAGACAAAGCATCAAATTGCTGCTCGTATATCTGTTCTAACATGTGTAAACTATACTGACTGAATATAGAAGACATTTAACCAAAGAAATTTTGGTGATGGTCCAAATTTCTTCAACATGTGACTGTTGTGTTAGACACCACTGGAACATCCTACTCGCACACCTTAGAAGGAGTTTTACAGAAGACAGTTCTGCGCATATTACAAGCTGGCCAATTTTTGGTACACAAATATGTAGGGAATGTGAAGCCCTTTCCTCATTCACTGCCCATCTTATTTCACCATGCATACTTGTGTAGTTCAGCCTTCCTTCCTTAACCATGCATTCAAGTTTAGCAAGATAATGTGTGTAAAATGTATTGTTCATCCAGATAAAGTGATTTCATTGGGTCATAATAATGAAAACTATGTAGCAGTTTTCACCAGAACATACATCAGTTCTCAAACAACACTTTTTCTATGCCAAATTTCAACTTTCTACGTCTGTCATTTCAGTGGTACAAATGTTCAAAAATAGTTCATTTTTACAATGGGAGAAGCTTTTTTAAAAAATGTTCATTTTCCACATACTGCAAAACACTGGAATTGCTTTTGCTTAGACTTTGAAGCAGACACCATAATAGCAACAAAGTGACTGCGAAGGGAAGAGGAAGAAGAGAGAGACAGGCTGGACTAGAAACTTGACTTTAGCTGCTGAGCCCCTGCAGGGCAGGAGGAGATTTCATGCGCTCTCCCTGCCCCCAAACCCTGATTGGCTTGGGGGCAGGGGAGCACGCAAAATCTCCTCCCACCCTGCCCTCATCCTACAAGGAGCATGCAGTGCTTAGAAACACCATGCCCCTTGCAGGGTGTGAAGTCTCCTCCTGCCCTGCCAGTAGCACGTGGCGCTTCTAAGCGCCATGCACTCCTAGTAGGGCGGGGGCAGGGTGGGAGGAGACTTTGTGCACTTCTCCCCACCCCCAGGACCTGATTGGGCTGGGGAAGTGTCATGGCCTCCACGGTCCGGATCAACTTGCGTGGTGGGCCGGATCCGGCCTGTGGAGACCCTTTTTCCCACCCCTGTGCTAAGGGCGGCTGGTGGTGGTGTGGTGTGGCCCAGGCAACACTGAGAGCTGACTGCTCACCCCTGTGGCCTTATCCCTTTCAGGGGGCCTGGAGCTGAGCCCCTCCACTACCACCAATGTCCTACATTCCCTAGCGCCCAGCAAAGTCTTTTGCAAGCCCTGGGATATGGACAATAATGGTTTACTCTTTTGTAATGAATCTGTGTAACCAGTATTAATCATGAAAAACCCTGACAAAAAAGATTGATTAAATAGCTCATTGGTTTTTAAGTAAGGAGATAATGTGAAAAGGAAGTATTTTTTGTACTGAATGATTAATGTAGACTCCTCACCTGTAGCCACATCTGTGATTTTCCTATTGACTAAGAGAGAAAAGCCAGGATTTTATTACTTTCTCATCATAGTAGGGTGTTGTGAGGATTAATTCATGTTTGTACAGTTGAAAAGCATTCTATGCTGTGCGTGCTGTTACTGACAATGGAGCAAAATATTCTAGCCCTCTTCCCTTTTGCATTGCACACTACCTCTAATTTTCTAGAATATAGGGAATTCTTCAAGTCTTCTAGGAAAATCACCATTGTGCTCCAGGTGGGATGCCTATGATAATCACTTGGAACACTATCCCAGTAAAGATGAATGGAAATGTGTCACCCATAGGCACATGATGATTTCCCCACCTGATCTGCAGGAAAAACCAAGATCTGGTTCTGTTTATGATAGGATTGTTTAAAAAAAAAAACTCATACATTACAGAGGATAGGTGGGATGTAATGACCAGGCTCTCAGTCCAGTGTAGCACTTATAATATTTAATGTTGTTCATGTCTAGTGGGCTTTACAAACATAGGAAGGCAAATTCTTTGGTCCAGACTCTGTCCTTCAGAAGTGACTCCCTCTAGGACCCTGTTGCTTGTGCTGAACTTGCAGATGTTCCCCAATATGGAGATGTCAATGCTTGATATTTATTTTGTCTATATTGCCCACTTAGTAGGTTGGAGGATGCTGGTAGATAAGAAAGCAAGAAAAAAAATTGTCTGTGGTGATTTCTTCTCTGCTCTGAAAGACTGTGTCCTAGGCTCAGATCCTTTCAGACTGCATTTTGCATGTGGCGCCATTTCCTATTCAAGGCCTGGGTGAAAGAGGAAGAGGTTGCTTTAGTGCTCCTTACTATACACCAGTGGCAGTTGTTCACATGTCAAGCCATGATGTCTCAAACCCTTTTGAAAGATCTGATCCATAGCAGGGTGGCCAATCTGACTAATAGTTTGACTAATAGAGGAAAGTGGTCACATTGTTGAGTCTATTTGTGATTAGAGTTAGAGGGGTGAGACAACATTATTATTAGGTCAGAGCAACTTCCTCTGGTGATACACAAGAAATTGCTCCTTTTCTGTTTCCCCACGTCGCTCTTTGTCCTTGAGTATATTCTGAAGCATTTCCTTTGGCCCATATTTTGTCTTTGCCATATACCTGGCCTGTACCTGATGAGCTTGTTTGTTTGTTTTCCGGGTTGTATTTGTGTGAAGGAAGCACACACCAATGTGCCATCTACAGCATGGATGGTTTGGGGAAGTTGGGCAAGAGCATTTTGTAGCACTGCCCTTCCAAGTCACTCTCCCAGCATGCTCACTGGTCTGTGGGCACAGGCACAAAGGAACCATGCCATGTTTTGTGTTGGGGCTGTTCCCCACTCTGACACTCTGAGTGCAGAAGATGGGTGCCCACAAAGAGCTCAAAAGGAAAAAAAAAAAACCTTTGTCTCTACAGGCAATAGTTACCAAAAGCTTCCCCCAGAATCACAATATACAGATTTTGGGGAATCACTGCCACCATGAAGTGATTTTTATTCCTAAAACGGGGGGTAAACGAGCTCTTTTGCCCCAAAAGCACTTGAAAAGAGAAAACCAAGCTGCAGTCTCTTGCAGCTGACCACTCAATCTGAGGCACAAAGACACAGCCAGACAGACCTGTACATTCCAGGACACAAGAATCAAATCATCACCTTAAAGTGATTTTTATTACAAACCAAAGATAAACTTGATAAAGCATTCTTGGTTGCTAGATGTTACAGAGCAATTAAGGAAAACAAAAAAAAAGAAAAATCTCTGGGATCAGTGCTTAGATGGTAAAGGAGAGGAGGCATAGATTCACACAAAGCAGTTCAAACCAAACCACAAAAGAAGAAAAATTACCCTAAACGCGACTAGATCCACTTTTCCTTTTACTTACTTTCAATTTTCTCTTCGTTCAATCCACTCCCATGCTCCAAAGTCCTGCCTGGGTTTAAATCATTCTGTCTCTCTCCACTCCTATTTCTTTTCCCCCTCCCACACAAAGAAAGCAGGCAAGGAATCTATATCCAATTCAAATTTCAACACTCTACGGGTATGTCTACACTACCACCCTAGTTCGAACTAGGGTGGTAATGTAGGCAACCGGAGTTGCAAACAAAGCCTGGGATTTGAATTTCCCGGGCTTCATTTGCATAAAGCCAGGCGCCGCCGTTTTTAAATGTCCGCTAGTGCGGACTCCGTGTCGCGCGGCTACACGCGGCACGGAGTCCACACTAGCGGACATTTAAAAATGATTGGTTTTCCTGGTCCCCTGGCCAACACCTTTGCAAGCTACCTAGTTTAAACCCTTACTCACTGGGTGCTAGTCAGCACTTCTCTTGTCCGCTATACCCCCTCCCCCAAAATCACAGATGGTTACTTAGCAGCAGCAGACTGTATTTGAATGATACATCCCACTGATCAGCTGAATAGTGGTTTGGGGCTGTGTTTCAGTACCGGGATAAAAAGCAATGCCTCTTCATGCTTGCCAGTCCTGCCACTCAACTAACTGGCAGTTTTTACACATACTCTGCTAATCTGCTTGTGAGCCATCACTAAGCCCAGAGGAAGTGGAGCTGCCCTATTCTTGCCTCCCATGTACTTGAGAGTTATACTTCAGGAAGTGATATAGGGGTGATTGGAGTGGGAGCTATAGCCCTAAAGCTCATACAGTTCCTTTATGGGCTGCCACTTATATGTTAGCTGTTTCAGGAGAAAGAGTGGCAGATATTGTCCTAATTCTGTCAGATCCAGCAGAGGATTTAGGAGATCAAACTTTCTCTAGCACATTTAGACCTCCTCATTTACTCTTTTAGTTACCCTGTTCACCTACTAAGAAAAACAAAAGAAAAGGAGGCAGACCCTTGTAGAGATTAAGACAAAGGAGAGCCTTGCATCGATGAGGTTTTGTTTAAAAAAAGATATATCCATGAGGCATTTTTTTCAGAATTTTTTTTAAGAAAAAATGAAAAAGCTAAGGCCAAAATTATTTTGGTTTTCAAACTCAACTAAAAAAACCCAGTTATTTTACTGCCTTGTTCTTTTTAAAATTTCCCCTGCCTCCTTTTTCA